ATATGTAAAGAACTCATACAGATTGATAACAAAAAAATGATCAAAAATGGGCAGAGGATATAAATAGACATTTTTCCAAAGAAGATATACAGATGTCAAGGAGGTACATTAAAAGATGTTCAACATCACTAATCATTAGGGAAATGCAAATCAAAACGACACTAAGATATCACCTTGCACCCATTAAAATGGCTATAATCACAAAGACAAAAAATAACAAATGTTGGAGAGGTCATGAAGAAAAGGGAACCCTTATACACTGCTGGTGTGAATGCAAACTGCTGCAGCCACTATGAAAGACAGTATGGAGATTTCTCAAAAAGTTAAGAATAAAAATAACATATTACCCAGCTATCCCACTACTGGGTATTTATCCAAAGAACTTGAAATTGACAATTCAAAGAGACTTATGCACCCCTATGTTCATTGCAGCACCATTCACAACATCCAGGACATGAAAGCAACCCAAGTGCCCGTTGACTGATGACCGGATAAAGAAGATGTGGTATATATAGACAATGGCATACTACTCAGCCATAAAGAAATGACAAAATCATTCCATTCACAACAGGGATGGACCTTGAGGGTATTATGTTAAGTGAAATAAGCCAGACAGAGAAAGGCAAATTGCATGATTTCACTCATATGCAGAAGATAACAAATACATGGATAAAGAGAACAGATTAGTGGTTACCAGAGAGGAAGGGGGTTATAGGGCAAAATATGTAAAGGGGCACATACATATGGTGATGGATAACAGTTAGACTATTGGATCAGGGCTGGCCCTCTGGCATAGTGGTTAAGTTTGGCGCACTCTGCTTCGGTGGCCTGGGTTCATGGGTTCAAATCCCATGCCGAGACCTACACCACTCCTCAGCCGTGTTGTGGCAGTGACCCACATATAAAGTGGAGGAAGATTGGCACAGATGCTAATTCAGGACTAACTTTTCTTAAGCAAAAAAAGAGGAGGATTGGCCACAGATTTTAGCTCAGGGCTAATCTTCCTCAACAGCAACAACAAAAATGTTAGACGGTGGTGAGCACGATACAGTCTATACAGAATACCAATAAATAATAATGTACACCTGAAATTTCACGAAGCTGTAAACCGTTATGATCTCAATGAAATAATAAAAATTAAAAAACAAGTTTAAAAACAAGATTTACACAAACATGTTTATGAGATTTCTTAAGAGCAATAAGCTTATAATTTGACAACGTGAGGTGAAAACCCTCTGTCAAAACAAATTCACTTCAGTGGGGGATGAGGCATGTTTTAAAAATACTTTAACCAATCACAACAGGTGTCCAATATTAGTTGCCTGGCATCCCTCTGATTTGTCCCATGTGCCTTAGCGCTATAAGCAGTCTCCTATCGTTACTCAATCTGTCCATCAGCCAAGGACCACAACCTGGGCTGGCCAGATTCCTTCCAGGGACCTGAGTTTCCATTCTTGCTTCCCTGTCATTTCCTAAAGGAAACCTGAGTGATGGAATGTGAGTGGCTTAGAGCAGAGCCTCACCAATAGGAGAAAATAATGCAAGGAGTATTCCCTTCCCATGGGGCCTGCGGCAACATCTCTCCAGCAAAGGACACCACTTACTGAGTTAAGCTGGGCTGCTGGCTCTGAAATCTGGCAGAAAGTGAAAATAGTGACTAATTCCATAAAATGGGTAAAGGAAAATTCTGGAACACTATATACATTTTGTTCTGTGCTCACTTCAAGAAAAGTTTTAGAAGAATAAAATTGTAAGTAGGTCAAGTCAAGCAAGCAGATCATAAGTCTAGGGTTATTCTTGCTCTTCCTGCACTTTCACTTTTTCATCTGTAAAATACCAGCAGCCATATAGGCTGGCCCAGCTTTCCTCCCATAGGTTGATAAATGAGGGTCTTTGGTTAGAAGAGCAGGCATTTTTGTTTTTCCAGCAGTGAAGTATGCTGATACTCTAAACTGAAACAAAGAACAAGAACTTTAATGAAAAGAAGTGTCCAACCTCGTAATCATATGCATTTGAAACAGCTCATCAGAAAAGTCCACCACCACTGAGGGCAAAATGTCAAGAACAGTTAAGCGCTCTTAGGCTGTTGTCCTGAGTGTGGAAAATAACTGAAATATTCCGCTATGAGAGAAAAGATAAATAAATGATGGCACATCTCTAGGATGGAAAACCATGTTGGCATTATAAATTACACTCTACAAGAAAGTTTATGGGAATAGGAAAGCATTCCCTTTATATTGTGAAGCAAAAAAAGTAGACCATAAGATGATGTATAATATCAATACTAAACCTCTAAATCTCAAGTTTGTGTGCCTGATGCATAATAAGCCAATCACTGAAACACCAATGCTTGGAGATGGAGAAAGATTTATTCAAATTGGCCCAAACAAGAAGGTGGGACGATAGGTTCTTTCAAGTCCATCTTAAGGAAAGAAGAAAGCAATCGGTCTTTATAGAGCTAAGGGGCTTGGGGGGAGGAGTTTCAGAGAAATGAGGGGCAAGTCCATGTTTCTTTCCCTCCAGATAGGCTCTTAGGCAACCAGACTTCTGGACATCAATGGTAGCTGGGGGCTGGTTATCTGGTGGTGGTAACTTCCTTAAAGGCATTCTTTTTCTTCTGAAAAACAAGCTCATATATCCTTGTGACTCTTGAGTCACCTTTCAGGTTAAACAAGAAAACAGCAAATTAAAATTAACTTCCTTCGTCCGTGTCGGCAGTGGGAAGAAGGTCGAAGTGGAATCATGTTCTTAATTAATATTTACAGTAACCCTCAGGTACTCAGATTCAATATTACACATTTTAGTTTTAAACATAACCAGAAAAAAATACCGGTTGGAAATTTATAAACATGAAGAGAATTTATCTCTGGTTGGTGAGATTACAGCTGTGGTTTTGTGTGTGTGTGTGTGTGATTTTTTCCAGTTTTCTGACATTTGTATGTTGAATTTGTATTACTTCCGTAATAAGAAAAAATAAGAATGTTAATTAAAATTTTGGCTCCTTAAATCAGATATTCTGATGTGTTTTCCAGCCCCACAAGACCCCTCTTCTTACTGCAGTGGGGACCACACACTCACCTAGAATCTTTGATTCCTCCTCCAGGTGTATGATGCTGATAGAGGAATTTTTGGAAACCTAGGGTTTGCTCTGAGAATTCTTGACTGACTTTTATGGGATAATTCCACTTCTTTTCCCCAAGCACCCCTCAAGAAGAATGCTTCACTCTCTGCACAACTAGAATTACCTTTTTGTTGTCTTTCGGAGGGCTGCTTAGTAACACATAACATCCAGGGAAACTCTTCTTGCTATAAGAATATTTTCCTCCAAGATGAATCATCATGTACTTCTCCCTTGGTCTCCTGCCATTCGTTCTTAGGAAGGCAAAGCTTGGCATCAGAAAGAACATGTGAGTTTAGAATGAGGACAGAGAGAGTATCATTAAAAGCCCTGACTTTTTTTTTAATATGTTAGAGCACACATTTTTTTATTTTCATTATTTTTTTTATTTTTCATTATAACAACTCTACCATTATTGCCACTTTTGCTATCTCTCCATAACCAATTTCTTAAGTGTAAGGACTTACGTTTTTTAAAGAATACTTTTTGTTTGAGGAAGATTAGCCCTGAGCTAACATCTGCTGCCAATCCTCCTCTTTTTTTGCTGAGGAAGATGGGCCCTGAGTTAACATCTGCTGCCAATCCTCCTCTTTTTTTGCTAGGGAATATTGGCCCTGAGCTAACATCCGTGCCCATCTTCCTCTACTTTATATGTGGGACGCCTACCACAGCATGGCTTGTCAAGTGGTGCCATGTCCCCACCCGGGATCTGAACCGGAGACCCCGGGGCCTCTGAAGCAGAACGTGTGAACTTAACCACTGCACCACCAGGCCAGCCCCAGCCCTGATATTTTTAAGCTGTGGTAAAACATGAAGAAAAGGCAAAATACCCAACAAGCATCACCTTTGACCAGCAATACTGCTGCTCTGCATGGTGGAAGGGAAGCCAGGTCTTCCCAGCACATTTACCTACACAGGTAACACTGTTAGCAGAGCAATCTTCAAAAGAGGGAAAAGATTACATTTGTGTGTACATACGTGAGTGCGTGTGTATGTATCCGTCATGGAGGTGGTGTGTGACATGGGTGGTGACTGTGTGTGTCTCTCTCCTATAGATGTCCCCGCATAAGAAACCCAATAGTTAGGCAGAGAGAGAGAGAGATGCTCTCTGCTGGGAGCAAGGGAGAGGGGGTTTGCCGTCCTTGACTGACCTCTCTGTTGGTCCTGGAGATTCCAGTCTAGCCCATGGGGACACAGTGCCCCTCTGTGGTTGGCATGGTTCTTCCTAACTTTCCCCAGTTCCAGCTCTCTTCCTAAATCTCCCATCGTTCTTTGTGATTCTAGAATAAGCTACATAGGGAGGGCCTGATACCATGATCTGTGGCTCCTGCTCACTCTCAAGATCAGAGCTCAGAGGCTCAGAGGAGAGGTGGGGTGACTTCATAGAAGCTGAGCCACAAACTCCCTACATTTTGTCTCTGTTTCAGCCTTAGGACTCCTGTTTCTCTCTTCCTCTCATTCTCAAGGAATTTGTTTCCTCGAATTTAGGGACAGAAGCCTGAGATAGCTAAGAGAGGGTTCAGTGGGAAGGAGAATAAAACTACAAGAACACACGATGAGAGACTTGTGGTTGCAGCTGGAAAATTCTGGAACTCACGAAGAGATGCTAAAGGGTGATTCTCTGAAGGCACACACAATGCAGTGGGGCTGCAGCAGGGGGGATGGAGGCTAAGCTTCCGAGAGCACTCCTCAAAGAGTTAAGGGAAGTGCCAGAGGGGGGATGTCACCTCTCTGGAGAGACTTCAGGGCCAACCGGAAAGGGAGAGTCAGTTCTGACCAGAGGCCAGGGGTGTGGTCAGGGTAAATGGTGCCCAGAGCAATGTAAGTTGTTTGCATCCTCTCTCCTGGCCAACATCAGAATTTCCCCCAAATTGGATACATATATAGTAAAAGTAGAAAGCATTCTTTATTTGACATTCAACAAATCTGAAGCTAGCAACTTAGAACAAAACTGAAATAAAAACGAAATGATCTACAAGTGGTGTTTTTAAGCATCCCCACAGACTGGGCCTTGGAGGCGTAACCCCTGGCTGCATCCCTTTTGTGTCACCTTTGCTAGTGGCCAGGGACTCCTCCCTCAGGTCAGTTGGGGGATGTCAGGGCCCCTGGCTGGTTGGCACACTCACATATACCAACCCACTCCAATTCCAGCAGCTGTTCCTTGTGCTCCATCAGACCAGAGCCAGGAGCCAGGAGCCAGGGACTGTTTCCTATAGTGAGAGAGGCAAGACATGGGGATCTGCCTTCAGGAGAGGGCTGAGCTGGCAGGAATTGTCTCTGGAGCTCTTAGGCTTTTGTTCCTCGGTGTGTCTGGATCCCATGTTGGTCTCTGACTGACCACGTCCTTCCCTGCTCTGGGATAGTCCCTAACTCTGGTTTCTCTTTGGTGTTGTTCCCCATCTCCCTTTCTTCTCAAATTATCATTATAGAACCGTAATATCCAACCAAATCTCAGCTTGTGAGCAGTGGAAAGGTAGGGGAGCTCCAAAGGGTTACTTCAGAGAACGATCTATTGGCGGCAAAATATGAAAAGGTGGCTCCAGGTGGGAGGGCCGTTGGAGGTCCCATTATCTCGGGTGGGGGGGGGGGTCTATTTAAATATATAAAAAATACATGCATAGGAGTGGATACTGAGGGGTGAGGGAGGCGCAAAAGGGCTGAGGAGACTTGAAAACTCTTCCACATTGATTCTCTTGTGATTCCAACTAGCTTTCCCTCTTATCTTTTTTCCATCCTGCATATCTCCCATCCTAATTTTATTTTTATTTTTCAACTCTGGTGATTCTAATTTTCTTCATTTGCAAACTATCTCTCAAGGTTGAGTAAATCAAGGTTCACTCCTGAATCTGGCTTCTAGTCACTACACCCCAGCTAACTCAGCTCTCCCTCCTGTCCTGTGGTTCTCATTCCATCCTTCCTCATTTCAAGCTCATTCAGAAATCACGTTCATCTTCTGCTCCCTTACAGCCCTCTCTCAGTCCTTGCTGGTGATTCATATCTTCTAAAAATGATCAAGATTTTTCCTTTTCCTGACCCTGATGTTCCCTTGATGGAGCCATTCTCTAGCTTTATCCCACTTCTTGATATTATAGGCCTCAAACTGAAAACGGTCTTGGTCTTGGTGTCAGGATCTTGGGGAAGGGATTGGAAATAGTCACGGGAAGAAAAGAAAGCTTTAATGACTGAAAGTAGAGGCAGCTGAAGAGGACCCTAAGGGCTCCTGGGATGGGAGGGCACAAAAAGTGCATGACTCACTCTTGCTTGAAATCTCCCAACTCTGTGCATTACATTAAATGCTGATAGCATCGGTGACTCAGAAATATATGAAGAGCCCTGGAATCTAATGTACTTCTCCTCAAGCCTCCTTTCTATAGTCACACAAACCCTCTGTACCAGGAACAGCTCTCTAATGTCTACATAATCTTCTCCATACCAGTTGATGGCTTGCAAACTCCTGTCTTGTTACAGTCTAGATTTTCACATAACTTACGTTCTTCTGACAGCTTTGGATGTCAAATGTTTCTTAAGTAATTATAGTTATTAGATAGTTTTTTAAAAATTAATTTCAATTTGAAGGTATTTCACACTGTTAAAGCCATGGCAACTGGTATTGTCAGTACAATTTTGAATCAATATTTAGATATGGGAATAAATTGTGAATTTTACATATCATGGTCTACCATTGGAATGGGGTTGCATGTGTTAAATTAATATGATCACAGGAAATACTATTGATTATTTTAACTTTATCATATGAAGTGCTATGACTTACATTGAAATTTTTACCACTTCTTAAAGCTCTATCTAGATATATAAAGTATTTAAAGAGTGGCAAATTTCATACATGCTGTCCAAACCTACAAATATATCAATTTAAGACTAAAATTGTTGAATATTGCAAAATACGCCTCAGCTGCCCTGTACAACTGTTGGCGATATTGTGCTAATTTGTGAGTACCTTCAGAAATGTGCACTGGAACATGAAGGGAAAGAAGAAAATAGATGCTTGGCATCATGATCATAATGTTAAAATGCATCGCAGTCATGCTATCTGAGAGGAAGAATTTAACGTTAGTCTTTTCTTTACCAATCTGCCTCTGCTGCCAGATCCTCCCAGCACTTGGAAGCTTTGTCTATCTCTAGTCCTGATAGAGGCACAATCTACAAGCAGTCTCATCATTCAGACATAGTCATCTTTTAAGGATCTTGGGCAAGAGATGTGGAGAAGTGTTTCCCTTGCACTAGATCCAGGGCGGTCATGAAAGCAAAGATTTAGCATCATGGGTTGCACTAGATCCCAAGGGACAGAGGGACCTCTGTATTCTCTAGTAAATTTATTATTTCATATGTTCTGGCTCCAAGGGTAGCTCTGGCTGTATCTTCGGCACTTAGGCAAAATCAGGTACATAGTCATGGTGGGTTCCTAGTAAGTATCTGAACAAATATTTTTTGAGTGACTGGAATGAGTGCCTGAAAAAGATGTGTTGCTGGCTCCTTGGATGTCCTAGAGTTGGCGAATTTTAAGAAGAGTTTCATTAGGGTACAGATAAGGGAGAGACAGCTTCACGGCGGGAGAAGTTTAGAACTGTTGGCCACAAAGAGACTAGTTTAGAAATGTTCTCTAAACGTAACAGACAAACTCTTGAGTTGGCTTTGCATGGACATAAGGAAGGTAGTTTCTACTCGAGCCATGAAGACTGGGCCCAGAGTTCAGACTGAAAGAAGCCTGCTTCTTCAGAGATCAGGGGATAAATAGCTGTGGCCTGCAACGGGGACTGGCAGTACGTGTGAACTTTGAGATGAACCAGAGCAGGCTTCAAAGCCCCATGAGACTGTGCCAAGCTGAGCTGTGTGGAGTGAGCTAGTGTCTATGAATTTTCTCTAATGCTATCAAGTATGTACTGCGAAAAGTCATTGTCACGTGGTAAAATAGTATGTGTTCTTTCCATAACTGCCCATCAGAGGAAACGAGGAGACCCATACCGAGGAGGCAGAGGGATAGAACAGGATCGCAGGCTACACTTTTTAGGGAAAAGGACTTCGTCCTTTAAATTCATATCACAACAAGTTAACCAACTGACCGCAAAGCTGGCTAAGGAGTTCTCAGTGTGGACACGTCCTTGAGCTCTGCTCTGACGATGCCACTTCCTCCTACTCCTGCTCTCCCTGTCCATCCAGAGGCTTAAGGGGAGAAGTTCTAGAGAACAGACTTGGTGAATTTCAAGGGCTAGCAGGAAAGGGTCATTTTTATAGACTTGCACTTTTCCAGAAATTTTAAGGATCTGTTGAAAAAAGTCAGACTGTATTTCTTATCTATAGCTCCTGCCAAGAAAATAGAGTCTGTAGTGTGGAAATCTTAACTGTCTAAGGCCTGAAAGCAAACTTAGATTGTAAACTGCCTTCTGGGCACACTGATATGCATCTACATAGTTTAGGGGAAAAGTCCTCCATTCGAAGAGCCTGTGGCTCCTTGCTTAGGGGGAGAAAGAAATTTGGCTGAAGCTTTAGCAAGCTGTCAGAAAATGATTACTGGGATATAAAGAGACAATTCACAACAGAGATTTAGGACTAATGACGTGAACATTGGGGAGATATCACTAGTAGTGATATGCATGTTAAAACACTAGGACACAATTTCTCCTAATAAAATAGCAAGGTTGCAGTGAAACCTATATTCTATGCATAGCAGATGGCATTGTAAATAGGTGTAAACCTTTTGGAAGGCAGTTTGCAATATGTCAAGAGCCAAAAGGATATTCATGTCCTTTGATCCATTGAAGCCAATATTGTTATTCTGTAAACATTTACAGAGTCCCTTCCATATGACAAATAACATTCTAAGCCGAGGCATCAGAGATTGAGGCTGTAGATTGTGCCCTTCAGGAACTGACAGTCTGCTGGGGAAAAACATACCTATAATTGGATAATAACAATACAAAAGTGAGAAGGGAAGTGGCCTCACTGCAGGTCTGTGTTGAGTGTAGCAGGGGACAGGATAGGTTTCCTGCAGGAGATGACACCAAACTGAATCTGGAAGGATCAAATAATTCTAGGGGATAATTTCCATAGAAGACGAAGTGGGGAGGGATGTTCCAGGCAGAGCCAGAATAAGACCTGGAGGTGGCTGTGCATGGCTGGAGGATAGGCCTGGAAGAGATTTCAGGAAGTTATTCAGCCATTCTCTAGGCTCACTTTCGAAAACTTTACACACATTTAGTTTCTTTCCCTTGACTCTGGTTTTCATTTTCTGCCCAGAGGCACATATTCATCCCTTCGCTTCCCTGGGACAGACATAGGCAAATCCTGCCACCTTGGCCACAGACTCCGCTGTGGTAGCAACTGGCAACCATGAGCTGTGCTCCCCGGGTTCCTTTAGCAGCAGGCAGGACTTCATGACCCCTGAGCTCCTAAGAGGAAGCAGAGATGACTCCCTGGGTAGGAAAGACTGGCAGCTGGAGCCACAGGGCACAGAACAGACAGCACTCCATGGTCCTTTTCTTTTTCCGTAGCATCTCCATCTGGCAAGGGGCCCCTGGTGCCTTGGGGTGGAGGCTGGCTTGTTGCTCAGGCTGGGTTGCATTTGGCCAAAGGACTTATGCTTTCTAGTTAGTGTGTTCCTCCTTAGCCACTGCCCTTCTGGATAAAACAGTACAAGAGGACCCCTTCTTCATATGATCTGTGGCAAAAAAGAGGCTCAAGGAGTCAAGACAATTATTTGGGGAGCCCAGCAGTTGGAGCTGCCTTCCATTTCCTTCTCTTCACCCTGCAGGCCATGTGTGGGTCTGATTTCCCCAAGGACCACTGGGCTCCTGCTGTGCAGCCTCCCCACACATTGCTTGAGGTCTATTGGAGTGTCAGGACTCAAAGTCTCAACTTTCATCCCTGGAAGATAATGGGGCAGTACCCGTTACTCAGCCCCACTGCCTCCAGTCCCTCCCTACTACTGGGGGCTATACAATACACTTGGAGCAGAGAGCCTCAACACCCATCCAGCCACAGACCCCCAACTCTAACCCCATGCGATCCTCAGCCCAGGGCCTAGCAAAGGGGGCCACGTGCACAGGACCACGACTCTGAATGTGAGGATTCTCACTGGAGGGGTAGAGAGAGCTGTGGTGACCCTTCTGTGGTCCCAGGGAGAAGAGTGGGTAAGGGGCCAAGTGAGGTAGTTATAAATCAGGTGAAGTGAGCGAAGAGAGAGATGCTTTCTTAGTTTGCAGCATGAAGCAGGTTTCTAATGGTGGAGACTTGGTTTTTATTTAATTTGAAGGGCTCACCATTATTCTAGGCTGCTTCTCACTTAGGAGCTCTCTGACTTTGGGCAGGTCATTGAAACTTCCCGAGACAGCTCCTTCCATCTCAGTTCCTGGAAGGAATCTAGACACAAGAAATATGATTAGGACTGTGCTGGGCCAGGGCAGAGGGATGGGAATAAAGGAAGGAGAAGCTCTGGAGAAGAAAAGGTAGGAGGAGGGTCAAGTAGAAGAGGGTGTGACCCAGTGAGTTTTCGAGACAGTGCAAAAGAGAGTGTAGAAAAAGTCAGGTGGAGGGTGGAGACAATTTGCAATACTGCATTTCTGGACTGGGAGGCGGGAAAGATAGGTGTCTCAGGAAGGGACTGATCCCCACTTCATGTCTTTCACAGAAAACGTGGTTCTGACATGGGCCATCCTCCAGTTCTGCTACTAGATCAAACTATTTTCTCCAGGCCCTGGGCTTGTACAGCGCCCTCACGACTACCTGAGGCCCAGGATCCTGCATGGGTCCCGTCAGCAAGGCCACGTGACGACGCAGCGCAGGGGAATGGTCTCCAGGGGCTGCCAGCGCTCCAATACCTTCATTCCCCAGAGCCTAGGAAGGATAAATGACACATACAGCGCCACACCTCCGTGGTCTGAGAATCCTGCAGTGGACAACTGACACTTGAGCCTCTGAAAACTCGAGATCACCCAGGGCATGGTATCCCCGGGTCCTGGCTCCCTGACTGTCCTCACAGGTCTAGGATCTGTTCCCAGAGCATCTGCGTGGCCTTTGCAGAACCAGGTGGTTCATCTGGACGGTAGGACTCCAAGGCCACGAGGCCCTACAGGCGGTCTGGTGACCCCAGCGCCCTAACTGGATTGCCTTCTGTGGTCTCCCCCTCATTCGACTTCTTCCCGGAATCTCCACCCCTCACTGACCCCAGCCCGCCAGCTCTCTCAGGGTGCCTCATGTGGCAGGGGGTGGGAGTGAGGAGACATGGGTGGACCACGGGAGAAGAGCTGCTCTCTCTCCTCCAGCGCAACTGCCCTTCCTGCCAGACGAGTGCAGGGGCCCCTGAGACTTCCTAGGCTGACTTGGCTCTTTTCCAGCTTTCCCTTAGTTCGCCTTTCACCTGAGCAATCTTCGCTGCGTGCGCAGTGCGGGGTGTGGGCGTGTGGGATCGGCCAGCCTTGATCCCACCCTAGGTTGATGCTCTCTGAATCGCGGAGCCAATTTATTCACTAGCTGCTCCAGTAAAACTCCCAGAGTCGCCGATCCTGATCCAGGTTGGATGCGTCTTTCTCTGGCGGCCCCGCCCTCTTCTTCCGGGGAGGGGCGGCCCCCTCACTGGCCGGCAGGGGGCGCGATGCTGCTGGCTCCTCGCAAGCCCAGAGGGCGCCAGATCTTTCCCTCTCGGCTCTACTTAGCAAGGCTGAGACCGGCTTTATCTTTTAAAAGCCTTTTCGAGCCCTAAGGAAAACAACAAAGAAATAGACCCATAAGATTTAAGTATCTCAAAGCAGAATTAGGTCTGAAAGCACAAGATTTTTACCCTTTCGTAGCAAACTCCCCCAAGCTGTGTTTCATTCTACCTGTTACCTTGGGAGAGTCGCACTCCTTTCCAAAAACAGAACGGGAGCAACAGACAGGTCTAATGAGCTTCCACTGTGTGCCATGAGCCTCCAACAGTGGAGTGAAGACAGAGGAGAACGAGGGGAGGAGTGAGAGAGTCTCGGCAGAGCTCGTAACTTTTCTGCTCCAAGAGCAAAGGTTCTCCGTGAGGAGATGATAGATAGATAGATAGATAGATAGATAGATAGATAGATAGATAGATAGATAGATAATGATAGTACATGCATATCGTAAAAGTGTAAACTCAGACATTAGGGAGGGGTATACAATATACAGGAAAAGATATCTTCCTCTAATCTTTGTCTTTCAGATGCCAGTTTCATTTATAAAAGCAACAAGTATTCATTTGCATTGTATCCTAACACAGTCTATACATAATATCCAAGCCTGTAAACATATATAAGCTTATGGGTATGTAAAAAGGTTTGTGTGTGTTTGTGTGAATCACCTCCATTTTACCTCACATATAGTAGCATCCTATACACAGTGTTCTCCACCTTATTTTTTCATTACTAACAATATATTTTGACAAAGGATGTACCACACTGTGGGCCGCCCAGTGGCATAGTGGTTAAGTTCGCCCACTCTACTTCGGCAGCCAGGGGTTTGCAGGCCAGGATCCCAGTGTAGAACTACACACTGCTCATCAAGCCATGCTGTGGCAGCATCCCACGTCGAAAGTAGAGGAAGATTTGCACAGATGTTAGCTCAGGGAAAATCTTCCTCACGAAAGAAAGACAGAAGTGGGGGCATGGAGAGACTGAGAGAGCTAGAGAGAGAGAGACTGCGGATGGGCTAGACAGAAGAGATACAGTGAGAGCATCCAAGGAGGAGGCGGAGCAGGAGACAGAGATGGAGAGGCCGAGTGTTCAGGAAGGACGCCCCAGGGCCGTGGGTGCCCAGCGCGATGGCGTGACAGCGTGCATGCTGGTCGGCCTCTGGAACTTGCCCTGGACGGCTCTCCGTGGGCCCACCTGTGTGGCAGGGAGCTTGCTGTGCAGGTATATGGAGCAAAGCGGTGCGGTGGTGGCAGAGGCGGCGCTGGGAAGCGGGAGTGGGAGCAGGAGGGCTGGGTGAAGAAAAGGGGAAAGGGCGAGGCATTTGGTGGGGGCCGCCCCGAATGGCGGGAGCAGGTGGGACGGATTATGAGATAAAGGGCATGGGTGTGTGTGTGTGTGTGTGGAGTGCGGGCAGGAGGTGCACGTGTGCTCCCTGGTGACAGCAGGCCGGCCAGCCCCGCCCCGCCCCGCCCTGCCCGTCCCGTCCAGTCCCTGTGTCGGTGGAAGGGAGAGGCTTTCCTGGCTTTGGCCTGGGAGAGGGAGGCGGCTGCGATGCTGCAGGGGGGCCCAAGGGCAGGGGCAGCAGCGGTGGGGCTGGGCGCCGGGCGCTAGCGCCCCTCCTGATGCAGGATGGGGCAAAAGCTGTCAGGCACCTCCTTCGAGCCGGAATCGAACCAGCGACCTAAGGATGTCCACACGAGTCCAGGCTACAGTCCTCCGCTCTACCAGCTGAGCTATCGAAGGGTGCACGCCTCCAAAGGTGGGGCACTGCTTTTCCTGGAAATGACGGGGCCCAGGACACTGGGCCGCCCCGGGGGCCAACACGCGCGGGGTGGTTGAAGCCCCTTTGGTGGCAAAAGAGCCGCGCATAAGCCTGGGCTTGCTAGCGGCCGGACATCCCCGGCTGGCGACTTGCAAAAGGCCAGGGCCATCCCCTTCCCGCCCCCCTCCGCCCTTGGGGCTCTCACCTGTTGCCCTATCGCCCCTCCCCGCAGCCCTGGCTCCAGGCGAGGAGCACAGCCACAGCCACGAGGGGCCAGAGAGCCGGCTACAGAGGGAGGGTAAAGGGGCGTTGGCGAAACGGATGCGCGTGTCCGCTGGAGGAGGGCTTGCTGAGGAAAGCCAAGGAGGAGAAGCCGCCCGAAAGGGCACGGCCTGGGCGTGCGGCTGCGAAGGGCAGGCGCAGGGTCCGCTGGAGGCCCCTGGAGGAGCCAGGTCTCTAAGCGCCCTGCCCCGCCCACCTTCTCCCCCGACGCGCACCCGCGCCCCGCCCAAGCCGCGCCCCTCGCCCCACCGACTCCCCCTCCCTGCGCCCCCGAATCCGCACCCAGGTTTCTGACTCGCCCCCACCGGCCGCCCGGCCCAGCTGCCCACCACCGCCTGGCCTCGCTTTGCCACGCAGGGAGGCTGGCTGCGAAGGGATGCGGGAATGCTCTCGGGCCGGGCCCGGAGAGCATGGCCACCCGCCCCCAGCCAGCGCGGCCAGTCCCGGGACTCGCCTCCCCTCCTCTGCCCAGCGGCCCACCGCCATTCCCTTGGCAGAGGC